TCTTCTGTGCCACCCAGGCTTGTCAGGGAGCAATGAGCTTAAAAATGCTTTACATCAGGCACGTTATCTCACACCGTTGCCTCCATCGAGTTAAACTCAAAACTTCCTCGATGGAAAACAACAAACTTAGCTGAAACAGTTGAATCTGATTCCCATCGCCCTACCCCCAATCTCCACCTCTAGTCATTCAACTATCTTTGAACTCTCCCCTCTTGGGGTGCCGTGCGCTGTGCTGGGGGCGGAAATGGTTATGGAGGCTTCTGGCGTGGTGGGGCCCTGGTCCAGCACAGCAGGGGCGGGGGAGGGGGGGCATGCCAAGTCATGAGAGTGTGATGGCACAAGGGAGACCTACTTGACCCTTAGACCTAAGCCGGTCTGCACACCCATTGCTTGAAGTGTCTGTCAGCCGGTGCACCACCACCCCCCCTCCCCAACACCGCATATTCGGAAGTGAAACTGCGCCGTGGTTTTGTTGGTTGTCATGTTCATGGATGGTGATCACTAGGAAATACCTTTCACACAGGCTGGGTGGCGTTCAGTGGCCACATGTAGGTTGGTAGTTAAGTGTAAGCCTTCACTCCACTTCGGAGTATTTTTCTCAGATCTACCCACTGCCTTCCAATCTGTTCCAGCTCAAAGGGAGCTTATAGGGCAGAGTAGAACAGTTCCAACGCTGCACAACTTTATGGAAACCTCCTCTTTCTCCCGTGGAGCAGCTTGTAGGAGCATCAAACATGAGTGCTTTAACCATTCTGCCACCAGCCTTTCCTCAAACCTCTAAAAAAACAAACTCACTGCCATCGAGTCAATTCCAACTCAGCAATTCTGTAAGATGGGGTAGAAGCGCCCCTGTAGATTTCCGAAACTGTAACACTTCACGGGAGTAGTGTCATCTTACTCCCCCGGAACAGCTGGAAGTATCAAACTGCTAACCTTATTAGCAGACCAGCATAACCACCCTGGCTCTTTCCCTTACACCTAGGAGGTCAGAGATGTTTTCAGAGCAACTGACCAGCTTGTTATGGGTAATTGCAGGAAGCAGTCAGGAAAGGAGAGCCAAGCAAACAAAGTTCAGCTAGTGGGAGATAGTAGGGGTGGAGAAATGGGGATATGAAACAGAGGTGGACACGGATCAGACTTTGAATCTTTTTTAGTTTATCTTTTACATGTAGCAACACCTTTATATTTTGATATTTTTTTAAACATTTAAAACAAGATGTTGATATGGTCAAAATTGTATATTTAAAGATCATCCTGACAGCCGTATGAAGGTTAATTTCTTTTTTTTTTTGGCGAGGTGGGGCTGGTTGTGGACTAAACAGCAAAATTAAACTAGTAACAGGGAGATGTTTTGGAGATGTTGGCAATAACTCCAAAAAGAAACGATAAGTGAACTAAAATACTAGTGAAGAAAGGATATACCTGAGACATGATCTGGTGAAGTCAACAAAATTTGGGGATAAACTGGATGTGAGGGGTGAAGAAAAAGAATCTAGGGTGACTCAAAGGTTTCTGATTCAAGTGGACAGATGAGTAGGTAGTGGGGACAAGGCAGGAAATGCTAGAGGCACATGAGGGGGAAATGGCTTACAATGTGAGACTTGTAAATATTGGTTATTTAAATTATGTGTACAAAAAAGTGGGATTTGTGTGTGTGTGTGTGTATATGTATTATGTATCTATAAATGTAAAGGCATGTTTCTCAACATATCCTCCATGTAGGTTTATATACTCCTGAGGGCAACATTTCCATCTCTCTAACCTTTCCCTGAAGAATTCTATGTTCTTTTATTTATATTAAATCAAAACAACAACTTTAATATCTCCCAGGGTATTCAAGTTGTGGGGTTTTTTCCCCAATGTTCTTTGAGTTTGGAGACCAAAAAAGAAGTCTAAAGAGGCAGGATCAAGTTAGATGGGGCAAAATGTCCCAATGAAATTCTCATAGGATAGTCCTTACTGTCCTCAAAGACTGAGCAGGTACATTGTTGTAATGGGGAAAATTTTAACTGTTTCCCCGAAAATAAGACAGTGTCTTATATTAATTTTTGCTCCCAAAGATGCGCTAGGTCTTATTTTCAGGGGATATCTTATTTTTCCATAAAGGAGAATATGGTACACATTTATTGTTTATTTTATTAAAAGAGACCTCGCACTTCCTGTCTGCTCCAGCTGCTCTGCGGCCAACAGTGAGCTGCGCAGCGGTGCCCGCTGCTACAGTCCAGGGTTATGGTAGGTTCGGGGGGCCTTACTTTCGAGAGGCCTTATGTTCAAGGGGGATGCC